GGGGGAGGGGCAGAGAGGGAGACACAGAATCGGAAACAGGCTCCAGGCTCCGAGCCATCAGCCCAGAGCCTGACGTGGGGCTCGAACTCACGGACCGCGAGATCGTGACCTGGCTGAAGTCAGACGCTTAACCGACTGCGCCACCCAGGTGCCCCTGAAGACGTTTTTAAGAAGGGACGATTTTTTTTTTTTTTACTGTAAGTTACATGTAGAAATAAACGCATGCTTTTCCAAGGAAAACATTTTTAAACGATGCTGTTTGGGTTTGGACTAAATTGCGTACAGATGCACAGTTGCACTTTGCGTTACGGTGTAAGAATAGACACAATGTTGGAAACTTTTGCGTTACGCTCAGAGAGATAACCCTGTTCGTTTGAACAGTCTTTGTATTTTGTTTGTTAAGTGACGGGGCAGGCAAGTACTTCCTGTTCTTTCCTGCAGGAAGACGTGGCCCGTGTGAGTGGTTTTTGTCCCCACGTATAAAAAGTCACAGTGAACCTCCTCATCTGCTCTATATTAGCTTTTGTTTTAAAAGCTCACAGCCAGGGGCGCCTGGGTGGCACAGTCGGTTAAGCGTCCGACTTCAACCAGGTCACGATCTCACGGTCCAGGAGTTCGAGCCCCGCGTCGGGCTCTGGGGTGACAGCTCAGAGCCTGGAGCCTGTTTCAGATTCTTGTGTCTCCCTCTCTCTCTGCCCCTCCCCCGTTCATGCTCTGTCTCTCTCCGTCTCAAAAATAAATAAACGTTAAGGAAAAAAAAAAAAAAAGGAACACAATTTTCCCCCAGTATTTTATATGCCTGAATACGAGATGAGATCCCCTCCCAAAACCGTCCCTCAGAAAAGTGAACTTCTCTATACTTGATTCCTTGCCAGTTCTCAAATGACACAGCCTCCTCTTAACTTATTTTGTCAGGGATAGACTCCTTCAGCAGAGATGCCTCCATTCTGCGTTGGGTTTTATTACCGACAGAACTGGTTAAAACAGACTGGTGGCAGTGAAGGGTGTAGAACTTAACATTCTTTCAACATTGGCCCCCAACTTGACCCTGGTGACGACGATGATTGACATTAAGCATTATTGGATGAGTGATGGTTCGCTGGGTGGCTCGGTTGGTTAAGCGTCTGACTCTTGATTTTGGCTCAGGTCATGATCTCACAGTTCGTGGGATCGAGCCCCATGTTGGGCTCTGTGCTGACAGTGTGGAGCCTGCTTGGGATTCTCTCTCCCTCTCTCTCTGCCCGTCCCTTGCTCGCACTCTCTCTCTCTCTCTATCTCAAAATAAATAAATAAAATTTTTTTGGATGAGCGAGGCAAGAGTCTGGAAGGAACAGGCAAGATTTCTACGAATCTACATATTGTTTTATAGGATGAGGTCTTTTTCATCAATAAATTAAACATAGGCAGACATTCACTTGTTTCATGTACCTCTCTGATAAGTTACAGGTTGAAATTGACCAAATAACTAGGTGTTTGGATTCTCACACGGGAGCAATGGAGGATCCCCTTATGTAGCAGCGGTTCCCAAGGTCGTCTGGCCTTGGGATCACAGGGGGAGCTCCCAGACCAGTCCTAGTGGACTCCCGGAGGGTGGGACTCAGGCATCAGGCTATTTATTTATTTATTTATTTATTTTTGAGACAGAGAGAGACACAGCATGAACGGGGGAGGATCAGAGAGAGAGGGAGACACAGAATCTGAAACAGGCTCCAGGCTCCGAGCCGTCAGCCCAGAGCCCGACGCGGGGCTCGAAGTCAGGAACCGTGAGACTGTGATGTGAGCTGAAGTGAGACGCTGAACCGACTGAGCCACCCAGGCGCCCCAGGCATCAGGATGTTTAAGGGTCCCCAAGTGATCCCAGTGTACACAGAAGCTCTCTTTAAAGGGGTGTTTTGCCAAAGCAGTGCACGTACTAAGGCCTGTCCATTGCCAGAGGTTTGGACTCTAAGTCAGTCTAATCGGATCCCCTGGAAGACACTGCCTTCTGGCAGAAAGCGTGACCTGGGTAACGGGAACCCCTCTTGGGCCATTTACCCTTGCGCGTGTCATCTGCAGGAGGGACAGTGTCACCTCAAAAGTCCCCAGTCTTTGAGCTATAGACCCTTTGGGGCCAGGAATCCATACGCACACCAAGCTCTGTCTGTAGACTGCATAGTATTTGGCCCACACATCTGTGGCACAGTATTTTAAAGACATGTATGTGCTGTTGTTAGGAATAAAACCGAAATTAACGTAAAGGTGTAATTGCCTCCCTAGTACCCTTTCTTCATTGTCTAGTTTCTCAGTCATCTATAAAGTAGACTTTGTGAGGGTCCTGGGCCTGGAAACAAAAGTGGGGATCAAGTATAGAGGTGCAGTGGGAATTCTGCAAGCCAGCCGTCTGGGTTTGAATCCCAGTTCCGCTGCTTGCAGCAGGGAGGTTGGGGCAAGGTGGCCCCTCTGTGACAGTACCTGGCCCACAAGCCTATTGATGACCCAAGAGCCAATCAGGTAAAGCATGTGGCCTAGATACGGGCAACGACCTGATCAAGACTGCCTTTTACTGTTTTTCACGATCACTAAAATCAGTTATACGCTTGGGCAGACTGCCCCCAAGAGAGCCCATAAAGGACTAGCTTGAAGGTTTTAGCCCACATTTATTAATTTTTGGTCAAAACTCCCTTACGGCTGCCACAGCTGGACGCGGAGGTGAGGAAGGCAGTCACTTACCTCATGGGTTTGAACATGGCCTTCCCGAAGTCTGAGAACCTCAGAACCAGCTTGAGGTGGACCCCACTGGGTTTCACAACTGTAAGGGGGAGAAGAGGGGAGTTAACAATCCTTCTGGGCCTAACCTCGGGGCTGTAAGCCTTTGTTCACTCAAAAAACCCAGCTGATTTCTTCTCTTGGTTCTTAATAAGACCCCAAAGCCTGGCATTTGCTTTCAAAACCTTGCAGGGTAAGGTTTAGCATGTCAGGCCACGGAGAGTGGGTCCAGGGGCTCAAGACATTACTTTGTCTGCTGTTGTGGGAACAGGGCAGACAATGCGGGATTCCCCGGACAGACACTCACTGCAAACCCCAGAAAACGTTTTCCTAAGAAGAACCACTGTCTTCCTCTTTGTACCTCTGTCCCAGTGGATTCTGGTTGTGCCACCTGTTACATTGCACTGGGCGAGTTTATCTACATCTCTTTCCATTCGACACTGCATACCTGGGTGAGACAGGGTCTGGTGAGTAAGACACCTGCCGGGGCACCGCCATCACCCTGAGCTGAGCGCTGCCTCCAGGGATGTCATGGAGCCCTTCACACGCTTTGCCCCATCCTGGCCTTGCTATAAGCCCCGTGACAGTTGGGACAACGACTTGCTCAACCTTTGTCTTCTATCAAATGGCAAAGGGCAGGTGCTAAACTAAAGGAAAGGGGAGCCCCGGGCCCTACAAACTTTCTTCCAAACCTTTGTCACATCATGACTTACACGGGGATTTCCCTGTTGGGTAAGTATTGCCGTCAATGCGTGAGGTTACTCATCGCTGGTGGTGACTGGCCTGTGGGCCTCAGTGTCCGGCCCAGACCTGCCCACGCTGAGGGCTGGGGATTCCGGTGCCCAGGCACGCCTGTACCCAATTCATAGCACCCTGGGAGGGGCTATAGCTCACATTTATCTTTTTGATTCTTTTCATCATTTACCCCAGTGGGTCTCAACTTTGGGTACATTAGAAGCACCCGGAGGGCTTCAAAATTCTGCTGCCTGGGGATCACCCCATACAACTGAATTAAAATCTCCTGGGGGGAGAGGCCAGTACACGGTACCTTTTAAAGCTCTCCGGGCAACTCTAGTACGGGGCCAGCTTGAGAACCGACGATGTTGTTAATTTCCAGATTCCGATTCAGAAAAGCAGAGTGGGGACGGAAATTTTGTATCCCTTTTCTATTTTTACTTTTTTTAAGCAGGCTTCGGGCCCAGCGCAGAGCCCAGCCGGGGCTTGAACTCACAACCCTGAGATCGAGGCCTGAGCTGAGATCAATGGTTGGATGCTTAACTGAGCCACCCAGGCACCCCGACATTTTGCATTCCTAGCAAGCTCCTTGATGATGCAGGGACCCCAGGCTCACCAGCGGGGGCCTGGTAACCGTACCTCTTAAAATCCCTTTTCTTTTGTGTGGGTGGAGGGGTGGGGGAAAATGTCGCGTTCTCAGAGATTAGGCAGAGAGAGTCATGCTCCAACTTCCGACCAGAAGTGGACCACAGAGTGGACGATGGGCCCCCCCTGTTGTTGCCAAATCTTGGGGTTCACAGGGCTGTGGAGGGAAGGGGGCTGGACAGAGGCGGGGCCGGGCCACTTACTCTGGGTGCAGTCACAAGCCCCAAGCAGGGCTTTCTCGTCCTGACTGTAATCTGCAAAGAAGGAAAAGGGTAGTGAGAACATCCAGGCTTGTTCCTGGAAGAGCCCACCACACAGGGCCCTCGACTCTGGTTTAGACCGCAGTGGGGAAGACGGTGAGGCGGCCCAGGGGGCCCTTGCCCCCTCAGCAGGGCACGTCCCAGGGCCCCGGCTGGCTGCAGCCTCCACCCTGCTCCATCCCAGGGCCCGTGCCCTCTAGCCCTTCAGCGGGTACTCGAACAGCGCCTGGGTGAGTGAAGGATGCTAGTCTGGTCTCTGCTAGAAATTGGACTGTTGGAGTGCTTGAGAGCCCAGACCTGGGACACAGCAGGTCTGTGTTTGAATCCCAGCGCCACCACGGGGTCTTTGGCTGAGCTGATTAACCTCTCTGAGTCTCAGTTTCCCCGCCTGTAAAGTGGCCATGATAAGGTCTACGTCATGCAGTCACTGTATGAAAGATCGTTGACAGGTTCCAAAGGAGCATCCAATAAATGGCAGCAAAACCACCATCCTTGAAGTGTGTGGAAACTCTTAGGGCTCTCTGATGGGGTGGTGAGGCGATCAGAATGAAAAGAGGTCTTTCAAAGGGGGAAAGGATCAATGGCTAGCCTTTTCTTCTTCTTACCTATCAGGTGTCAGAGTCAACCCTTTAAGATTTCACGCTAGAGCCCAGCCTGACATGGTTTATGCAGCTTCTCTGGGAGAAAGTCAAGGCGTCCCACAAGGCGACCCTGTGAGTCTCACCAGCGCTGATGGTGGGAGAGCGCCTCATGTCCTGGAGCAGTTGGCGGACGACAGGGCTGGACCGGGGGTACAGCCCGTGGCGGCTGATCCCCAGGTGGAACTGGATCCAGCTGGCGTCAAGTTGGAGCTGTAGTGGCGCGTCCAGGGAGGTAAGGTTGAGCTGTTCTTGGTACATCTTGTGCCGCCTGAAAGAGCAGAGAGAGTTTCGTTCTGTTTCAATTGGGCTACGAGAAGGCAGAGACTTGCGAAAGCACCGTGTCTGGGCTCTCTATTCATTCTTTCATTCATTCAGCAGCAGTATTAAGTGCCCACTGTGTACCCGGCCTTTTGCTGTGCTTAGGATACCATGGCGGGGCGGGCTGGGGGGGAGCAAAACGGGCACACGCCTTCCTTCCCTCTGAGGGCTTACAGTCTAGCGAGTGCAACAGGTGCATGGTTACACGGTGTCATACACAAACACACAAAATACCTAACTATAAACCATGACAACCACGGCGGAAGAAAAGAGTAGATGATGACGAGTAAAATTGGGGGCTTCCTATAACTGGGGATCTCGAGGAGGTGTTCTGGGCCTCTCCTGTGCACTTTTCCATGGAAAAGTCTGTATGTTATATTTCCGCACTATTTTCTGACCCATGGAGAGAAGGAAGTGAATGGAGGGCAAGGATCCCTTAAGTAGAGATAGATTAGACAATAGATTAAACGATGAGTCATACAGGAAAAGAAGAATTAACTAGCCATTTACTGTTGGCCCACTCAAGAGCCTTTTCTACCAGGGTACAAATAAAAACCAATGCCAGTGCCCTACGGAGGCCAAGAGTCTAGTTTGGGAGACAAGGTGTGGGTCTGTGAAATCATCGGAGCCAAAGACTCCCCCCTTACTCCCAATATTTTGGAGAAGGGAAAGACTGGTCAGAGGAAGACAGTCGGGGAGGAAGGTGGACTTCAGCTGGATCCTAATGAATGGGGGGCGTTTGGATTGAATGGGGTATTACAGGGGCGCGCGAGGAGAGGCCGGCGGGCGACAGGTGTGTCTAAGGATTAGAGAGGGAGGCATTATTTCAACAGATGGTTGAATAAAAAGGTGGAGGCTTCCAGTTGGAAGGCAGAGCAAATTAGCATGATGTCACCTGGCGAGGAGACGCTGACTGCAGGGGAACGTGGGATTTTGGGGGCAGGGAAAGGGTGCTCCTCTATGTGCATATTTCTCAAGCTGATGCCACACCTCTGAGGTCTGTGATGGGTTGGTGTGGGTTTTTAAAACATTTTTTTTTGCTAGGATTTTTGATTTCTGAATTCTGTCATTGTGAATTCTGTTAAGAATAAAGCATCCAGTAATGTAGCCGAGTCAACATCGACTCACTGTTTTGTAAAAACATTTAATTACATATGAATTCATTTTGATTTTCGAGTTTTCCTTTTCGAGCCAACACATTTTCTTTGTTCAGGTCCTGCCGCGTTTGAAAAGCTTTTGTGTATTTTAGGCACTGTGTCCACATTGCTAATGAACCCTGACCCACCGTCTTAGCTCAGATGCCCAAATAAAATACCACTGACCGGGAGGGTCAACAGCAGGCATTTATTTTCGCACGCTTCTGGAGGCCGAGGTCCAAGATCGAAATGTGGCCACGTTCCGATTTCGCCTGCGCCCCCTCTCGCTTTCTCTCGGCCTCGCGGATGGCCGCCTTCGTTGCTTCCTTACGTTGCCTTCTCTCTGTGTGCGAGCATCCCTGGCGTCTCCTGCTCTCATAAGGACACCAGTCCTATCGAATTAGGGCCCGCTCTATGTAGGAATCTTGGGGGGCGGGGACACAAATCGGTCCACAGTACTTGCCCATTTACAATCTTGGTGGCTAGTGGCCAGGAAGGTCCATGCCAGAAGGCTTTCCTCAACCCCAGCCAGGAGGTCAGGAGAGAGAAGGGGTGCGGACGGCGAGGTAACTCTACGTGGACGGAACTTCCTTTCTGGACACGGTTCTACCCATCTACAGAATTCAGTGAGACTCACATCCGTCAGGCAGAGCTATGCGTTTCCATTATCTATCAGCCTCTCCGGGGGGCTAAGATAAGTACCTGGCAGCAGTGTGTGTATATTGGCCCCCTCTGGCCGCCGTAACAAAATTCTGCAGACCAGGCGGCTTGGCCAATGGACATAGGTTTCTTGCAGTTCTACAGGCTGGCAAGTCCAAGATTAAGGTATGGGCAGATTCAGTTCTTTTTTTAAGAAAATATTTATTTATTTATTTTGAGAGAGAGAGAAAGAACATGTAGGAGCAGGGGAGGGGCAGAGAGAGAGGAAGAGAGGGAATCCCAAGCAGGCTCCGCACTGTCAGCACAGAGCCCATCGTGGGGCTCGAACTCATGAACCTTGAGGTTGTGACCTGAGCGGAAATCAAGAGTCAGCCACTTAACTGACCGAGCCACCCAGGCGCACCCAGATTGAGCTCTGGATGAGGGTTTTTGCTTCTTGACTTGCAGATGGCCACCCTCTCGCCGTGTCTTCACGTGGAGAGAGGGGAATGTCTCGTTCTCTTCTTGTAAGGATACTAATCCCGTCATGGGCCTCTACCCTCCTGACCTCATCTAAACCTCATTGTTTTCCAAAGACCCCCACCTCCAAATACCATGACCGTGGAAGTTAGGGCTTTGACATATGAATTTGGTGGTGGGGTGGGCGGGTGCAGGGGACTCATAAGCATTCAGCCCATAAAACTATGAGCTTCATTTCTCCACCCTTAACTCATCTGTAGAGCACACTTACTTGACATGCAAGGGAGAGCACACTCCCCATCTAAAGGGGACAGCTGCCATTAAGTTTCAGCTAACAGGAGTCATGTCTTGTCATTGTTCATTTATTTATTCATTCATCAACATTTATTGACTGCTAGACGCTGATCTACATACTGGAAATAAGGCTGTGTACAAAACAAAGCGTTTGTTGTCAGGAAACTTACATTTTCCTGACAAATCTTTTATTCTGAGTTTTCAAGAGAAGCTAAGAATCCAGATATTTTTTCTTTTTCTTTCTTTTTTTTTTTTTTTTTAGAGAGAGTGTGCACAAGCGAGTGGGGGAGACAGAGAGAGAGAGAGAGAGAGAGAGAGAGAGAATTTTTTTTTTTTTTTAACATTTATTTATTTTTGAGACAGAGCGAGACAGAGCATGAACAGGGGAGGATCAGAGAGAGGGAGACACAGAATCTGAAACAGGCTCCAGGCTCTGAGCTGTCAGCACAGAGCCAGACGTGGGGCTTGGACTCACGGACCGCAAAATCATGACCTGAGCCTAAGTCGGCCGCTTAACCGACTGAGCCACCCAGGCGCCCCAAGACTATGTTAAGCAGGCTCTGCACTGTGGTGCCAAGCCTGATGCGGGGCTCCCTCTCATGACTCTGGGATCATGACCTGAGGTGGAAATCAAGAGTTGGACGTTTAGCCGATTGAGCCACCCAAGTGCCCCTAAAATTCCAGATTCTGATCACAATGTATAATCTCCTTTTTAAAACATGTTGACAGCTCAGAGCCTGGAGCCTGCTTCAGAGTCTCTGTCTCCCTCTCTCTCTGACCCTCCCCCGTTCATGCTCTGTCTCTCTCTGTCTCAAACCACCCTCTCTCTCTGCCCCTCCCCTGCTCACGCTCTCTCTCTCCTTCAAGATAAATAAACAGTTAAAAAAAAAATTACAAAAAAATTTAAAACATCCTGTGTAGGCTGGGTATATGTAACAAGGGAACGAAGCCCGTACTTGAAGAGACGCCTGCACTCCCGCGTTCACTGTGGTTTTTATTTGAAGAGACACGGAAGCAACTTCTATGTCTGTCAGTGGATAACTAGGTAAAGGGCGTGTGGTATATCTGCACCATGGAATATTATTCAGCCTTAACAAAGAAGATCCTGCCCGTGGACGGACTTCTGGATGAGACCCGGAGGGCACTGTGCAAAGTGAAAGAAGCTGGACACAGGCAGGCAGACACTGCACGAGCTCACTCACATAGGGAATTTAACACAGTCCAACTCATTCATTGCAGCAGAGGGTGGGAAGGTGGTTGCAGGGGCTGAGAGGAAGGAGCACTGGGGAGAGCTTAATCAAAGGCTACAAAGTTTCAGTTACAGGATGCGTTAAGTTCTGCAGATTTAATACCCGGCAGTGTCACCACAGTTAAGGATACTCTAGTGCACGCTTGACATAGGCTAAGAATGTCGATTTTAAGTGTTCTCGCTTCGTGCGCGCACACACGCACACACACAAGGTAACTATGTAAGGTGATGGATAAGTTCATTGGCTGCATAGTGGTGGATTATTTAACAAGGTATCGAAATATGAAGCTCTGCACCTTACACACATATAGGCTTTGTTGATTACACCCCACTAAAGCTAGAACAACAACAACAGCAACAACAACAACAAAATAACAAAATAGCACCCCGCCCGTGTTCAGTGCCCTTTGCCCTTAAAGCAGATGCAGATGTGACCTGAGTCGGTGCAGGGTGGTTTTAAGACACCCTGTCCCCCCGGCCCCATAGCTGTGGGGAAGTCCGAGCACAGAGCAGACAAGGCGAGGGAACTCTGTTATTTTAAGACTTTGGTCTGCAAGAGCAGAAGAGACAAAGACGGCTGAGACCTCTTGCCGGAGACAGCAAGCCGGTGGCAGCCATCCAGCCCGGGGTGCGGGGAGATGTGAGCCACTGTGATCGTTCTTCAACATGACCCATGTCTTATGATTTATGACCGTCAGGGGAAAGGACGCATTGTTGACCAGGTCTGTAGGCCTCCCGCCAACTTTTCCTTACGTTATTAACATTTATTTTTATTTTAGCGACTAGTCAGGCCAGACTCTGAGGCTCAATCTCAGTGGCCTGCTGGCCTCTCTTGGGAGTCTGGTGGAAAGATTGCACAGGCCGGAGCTAAGCTAGTCACCCCGAATCGGAGCAGCGCCCAGAGCAAGTTAGGAGGAAGAGCCTGGCCGAGGGGCGTCTGGGCACAGGGGTGTGGGGTGGGGCGCTCCGGGCACAGGGTTGGGGGGGGCGGGGCGCTCCGGGCACAGGGTTGGGGGGGCGGGGCGCTCCAAGCTGATGGGTTCCAGCCGCAGCAGCAGGCGGGGAGGCAGAGTCCAGAGAAGGAAAAACACATGTGGCAAATTGAGTGCAACTTCTGGACGAGGGCAAATTCCTCTTTACAGCATCCACGTT